GGGTCTTTTGCATTCCCGCCATCTTGCCCTCAAGCACAAGTGCCACCCTGAGGATGGAGTCAGAAGCTTTACTGAAGGGGAGGGACAGACAGGAAGTCTCAGTTTGGATTCCCCTCTGCACATGGGCAGATGCTTCTCCCTCAACTTCAGCAGAAGGCTATTAGAGGCCCTACTGTTCTGTAACCAGTTAAGTTTCACTAAAAGAGCTGCTTTTCCAGGGTTTCATTTTGAGTTTCATAAACAGAAGGAAAAAAGGGGAAGGGGCCAGCTCATGGCAGGCTCCAAGGATGGGGCATCCCCACCAAGCCACCCTCCCTGCTCCAGCGCTGAGCAGCTTACCCACATGAGGACTATAAACCCAGTGGGCATACCCTGGTCTCATCACACTCCTGCCATGCCCAGGCCTGCCCTTCCTCCAGCGGCCTCCAAGGAGGAGGAGCCTGGCAGCCTGGACTTGGTGAGGATGCAGATCTCCAGATCCAGATCCTCCCAGTCCAGATCCTCCCTTCAGCCTTCAGAGAAAGACCCTCAAGCAGGAATGGGGGGGGGGGGCTGGGCTAGGTAAGAAGGTTGCACTCTTTGTACATGCCCACCTGGCCCAGGTTCTCCCTTCTTTGCTCCAGCTTCAAAGAAGCCTGCTCAGAGCGGGGTGGAGGAAATCATCGCTACCTCTTTCCACCGTGCCGCCCAGCCTATTGTCCCCCACCCCTTGTGCCTGAGAGCAGATCACGCCCTCCACCCCTGCTCCAGAAGCTTCCTGGTGTCCCCAGATAGGCACTAGGGGGGACGAGAGGGAAGAAGGTGGGGGGAGGATCAAAGCAGCCACAAGGAGCCCGATTGCGTGTCAGGCTCATCACGGCTGCTGAGCACTGCAGGGCAACCCATGTGTGAACCATTCCAGTGGGAGGAACAGCAGTCCAGATTGCTGCCGCCATGTGAAGGTTGAAGCACTGGAAGCTTCCGGACAGGAGGCTTGTATGAGTAGCATGGCCTGCACCTTAGTGTGACTAACTCCTGTTTATTTCAGTAACTAACTTTGTGTAGATCCATGCAATTCTGACTATAATTACAAATATGCACTATCTATATACTATCACACCTGTGGGTTAGATTTTTTTGAACTTCCTGTTCTTATAAGCTAAGCGTAGATTGATGCCTGCTTTCTAGACCCACTTCCAGGAAGTGGTTTAATTTAAAAAAAAAAAAACAATAGAAGTTAGTATACCTGTTCTGCAAACTACATTTCTGTGGTTAAAGAGAAAGCGGCTGTACATACCAAGTTGCTAAACCATTGAATAAATCTTTAAACATGAAACAGATAAAGTAAAGGGCAAGGGAAGCTTCAGTCTTGTAGAGCAATTGCATTATTCAAAGTTCAGAGATAGAGACAGAGACGGGAGGAAGGGAGGGAGGGAGAGAACTGTGCTTGTGCTTTTCCAGTGAATGCAGTGAGGGATGGGGGACTGAATGCAAGAGATTTGTCCTTGCAGCATTTCCCTTGAGTTGCAGCCTCATACTTTCTGATGCAATCGATGCTGTGCACTAGCTGCTTGTGTCTTTAGAGGTCTTTGGATGCAATTTTTCTTGTGGTCTTTATTTCCATATTTATTAAATTAATAAATAGCATAATTATTCTAATAAAGCTACCTGTTCTATTAGAAGCAGTTTCTCTGGCTACTGGGCTACTTCCAGGCACAACAGTGAGTGCAGGTGCCTACCTTGAAAGCCCTCTATAGCTTGGGAAAGGTCACTTTATTCTCCATAGACATTCTTTTGCAGTAGGAGTCAAGCTTTTTCTGCTGCGGGTGACTGTACATTGCCCTACGATTGTTTAAAAGCGTGTTTAGGGTTTTTATTGTTTGAGGCAATTAGCTACTCCAAGAGCTTAGCTGATGAGGCAGGATGCATTCACAAGGCGCCAACTGAGGCAGAACCCTGCTGTGAAGCCGCAGCCAGCTCCATGGGCTGTGGTCCCCAGCTAGTAGCAGCCAGTTATCCAAGCCTTTTAGATGAACACCTTTATCCGACAGCTAAAGCCCATAGCTCAACTGATGGCAATAAAGACAGACCTATTGATACAAAGACTACTTTCAGTGACATGGAAATAATATATAGAACAGAACATCTGGAGGATCTTTTGGCATTGAACTCTGGATGCTTAGGAAAACTTGATATCTCCAAAGGTTAAGAGGGAAAGAGACAGCAACAAAGTCCTTGAACGCAATGTTTTGCATGTGAATTTCATGTGATTTTAGCTTCTTTGGAATTGCCAGATTACTGAGAAATTAACCCAAATGCTGAATTTATAAGTACTGAAAAGGCTTCATGATGCATAATTCGGTAATGCAAAGAAGAAGGCATGGAGAGATTTGGGTTTGGCCCATATCTGAGGAAGAATGTTGAATTAATGCCTGTTATCCAGAATCACAGGGTATCTGCGAGATGAGTTGTAAAACTTAATGGTTGTGGTCAGCACTTATCTAAAGAACACATGGTTGTAAAATGTTATTGCTTTATGGCTCTTGGTCAAAGCTGTATAAAGAGTTTTGCTGATCAGTTATCAGAACACAGGAAGAGCCATGCTGGATCAGACCAATGGTCTGTCCAGTCCAGCAATCTGCTCACAGGGTGGCCAACCAGCTGCCCACAGGGTCCCTCAAGCAGGATGGGTGCAAGGCCTCCACCTGCCCAAGCTCCTCCGCAGCTGGTGCATGCAGCCATGCCACCTCGGGTAAAGGAGTGATCGCTTAACCAGCAAGGCTAATAGCCCTATGAATCTGTCCAGTCCCAGATTGGTGGCCATCACCTCTTCCTGTGGCCACAAGTGCCACAGTTTAACTATACGCTTTGTGAAGAAGTACTTCCTTTTATCTGTCCTAAACCTCCCCCCAGTCAGAGTCATGGGATGGCTGAGTGTTATGGGGGAGAGAGAGAAATATCTCCCTCTCTACTTTCTCCACACCATCTATTATTTTAAACACCTCTGTCATGTCTCCCCTTACCTGCCTTTTTTTCAGCTGAACAGTCCCAGTTTTTATAGCCACTCCTTGTACAGGAGCTGCTCCAACCTCATCATCATTTTTGCTGCCTTTCTCTGTGCTTTTTCCAACTCAACACTGTCCTTTGTCCGGTAAGGCAACCAGAACTGAACACAATAGTCCAAGCACAGCTGCACGAAAGATTTGTATAAGGGAAGTAAGATTTTGGCAGTTCTATTTTCTATTCCGTTCCTAATTAGCCCTAGCATGGACTTTGCCTTCTCCACAGCAGCTGAACATGGGCCAACATTTACACTGAGTTGTCCACCGCTGCCCCAAGGTCCCTTCCTTGCTCAATCACATCTAGTTCAGACCCCATCAGTGTATACTTGAAGTTGTGATTATTTGCCCCAGTATGCATTAATCTACATTTGCTTATATTGCTCTGCCTTTGCCATTTTGATGCTGCCGCTCCCAGCTTGGAGAGATCCCTTTGGTGCTCCTCACAACCCCTTTTGGTCTTAACCACCCTAAAGGGTTAAGTGTCATCAGCAAACCTGGCCACTTCACTACTTACTCCAAATTCTAGGTCATTTACCAATAGGTTGAAAAGCATTGGTCCTAATACAGAATCCCGAGAGACTCCACTGGTGACATCGCTCCACTGGGAGAAATTGCCATTAATTCCCATCCTCTGCTTCTGTTTTTTAACCAGACAGTCATCTGTGAGAGGACTCCTCTTGTTATTCCATGCCTGCTTAGTTTGCTCAGGGGCTTTGTCAAAAGCCTTTTAGAAGTCCAAGTAAACAATGCCTGCTGGATGGCCCCTGTCCACATGCCTACTGACATTCACAAAGAACACCAATAGGCTAGTGAGACAATACTTCTCCACTAGCTTAATTGAAATAAGGACCTCTCTCTCCAGCCAGGCCTTTCCCGAGTGAGAGTCCACAACGATGCTGCGCTGTATGGGGTTCACATGCTTTCATCAATGTTCCGTAGAGTTGTTTTCGCAATTATGGTATATTTTAACCGGGGCTTCACATACATTACAATCCAGTTTATTTTAATTCTCTTGTAAACCTCTTAGAAATATTTCAAAGAGGCTAGATGGATGAGTAATTTGATTCTAGATGGATGAGTAAACTGATTCCATCGAATGTAACTTCCTGGGTTCAGTTGCGAGGCTTTCTTTACCCTTCTGTGGCGGCACCTTCGCCGTAGACCTCGGCTGCAGACCCCCCTCCCACACACCCAAGACCCCTCGGGCTGGCTCAGATGGCCAGTGTTCTTTTCTGGCATGACATCTTCAGTGGCCTCGAATGGTATTATTTTCACCTGTGGCTGTTATTTTTAAGAGCATTGTATTTGACTCTCTGCTTTGCTTTTTTATTTGCATGCATAGTTTCTGTTGTTCTCTGGTAAGTTGCTCAGAAAAAGAAATGATACGGAATGCGGATGTTGTTCTCTGGTAAGTTGCTCAGAAAAAGAAATGATACGGAATGCGGAAGGATGGAAGTGCCTTTCAGGGGGTCCACATGCAGTTCCACCTTCCGTGTTTGAAAGAGAAAGAAAAGAAGGTGCGGCGGGGCACTTGCTCTTGGGCACCCCTGTGGTGCTCCCCGCAGGCACTGAGGCTCCCTCTACCTGGAAAAGCAAGCGATGCTTCAACCTAAATGAATTGCGACCCTTGGAGACTGCAGTTTCCAGTTTCCAGTGACACATAGCACAGCAGTATTTCATTCTAAGGCTCTCATTATCACTTGCACCAGATGCAGTCTCCTGAAGCAGCAGGAAACATCTGAGCCCCTTCAGGCCCCTTGGCAAAGCCACAGGCTGGGTGCTTTCCTGCGCACCTTGCAGGTAAAGGAGCAGCAGCTACATGTTGGCTACTGAGCACAGAAACTGATGTGCACCTTGCAGAGTATGAATGGTTACGTACTGCCTCCCGAGCGTAAAAAGGAAGTTCCAGTGCACTGTTCTTCAAACACAATCACTGTCAGCTCCCCTCCGTGCGCTGAGAGTCTAGTGAGCCCCACATTTCCTTTCTGGTTACTGTACCCAGCACCTGAAAGTCATGGACAGAGGTGAGTACCGATCTCTCTCTCAGTCTTTCTCATTTGTTCCTATAAATGTCAGCCTCTGAACTAGTTTCTAATGCCAAAACTCAGGCTTGGGAAGAAATAAGTTTGGGAGGGCATCTCTGGAGGTGTGCAGCCTCTTTCCTTCTGCTCTGATGAACACTGGGGAATAGGGATCAAGCATCCCAGTTAGTCAGCTTTAAACTCCAGTACCTCTCCTTTTTCAGAAAAGTAATATTCAGTTCCTGCTAACTGCTGCTAGAAGAACCACAGGTTTTAAATCACAAGGCAAAGAGCTCAATGAGATGTTTATCTTCTATTATCAGTACTTCATCCTCCATTGTAGATAGACGCTCCTTGCCACAGTTTCACCTGATAACTGTGGTTAATTTCTAAATTAAGCTGTTTGGGGTCGGGGTGCTTGTTTGTTTTGTTTTGTTTTTTACAAAAAGGGCAAAAGGCTTCCAAGATAAAACTCTGTCCAGGAAGCTTCTCTCCCGGCTATAATGCCTGGTGTATGGGCTGGGACAATTGCTGTACAACGAATTAGGCTCTTCGTACATGCTCTTCTGAATGAGTATTTTGCAAGTGTCCAAGCTGAGCCTTGCCACTGATAACTAAATCAATGGGATCTACTGAGTTGTGACCTACCTTTGCCATTGATTTCAAAGGGTCTATTCGATGACTAAATTTGGGTTCAGTCCAAATTTAATTTACCAGCTGTAGATAAAGAAACATGGAATTGAATTGCAGCACAGCAGGGAGGTGGGGGGAGGTCTTCCAATGGACCTGGCACACTGCTTTTGAAAAAAAAAAAAATGACCTAGAGATTAACTTTGAAAAGCAGGGTCAAGGTCTTGTCCTTCGCACTGATTTTCACTTGCTTCCTGAGTACATGTCTATGTGCTGCTTGGACCATTTTGTTGAGCAATGTTGCTGGCCAGAAGTCACAGAGATGCACAGAGGGTGCAGCAGCTGCAGCTGCAAGAGCTGCCAGTAAGCTTTTTTTTTGGGGGGGGGGGGTGCACCCTTGGCCACCACCCTCCACACCCTAGGCAAAGTGGCCATGAAGCAAACTTACTTGCTAGCCAGGGCTTTGGAAACCCCCAGCTACTTCAGTGTGGCTCTTTGTTCCTGCTGTATTATCTCTCCACATTATACATTATTATTATTATTATTATTATTATTATTATTATTATTATTATTATTATAACATTTCTATGCCGCCCCTTGCCGAAACCTCGGGGCGGCTTACAACATGATAAAATACATTGAAATACAATAGTACATATCACTGCCCTTTTTCCAATCGGGAGCCAGTTTTGTGAAAAGCATCGTCAAAAGCAGCTCTTTCTGGCATCCTGGTATGTCACAGCAGTGGGCTTCTCCGCATTTTCTGAAATGTGTTGTAATGCAGCTGTCAGTGTAACTTCGTAACATAATATTGCAACATGCGTAATAATGGACCGTGTGTTTCCCTACTCCAGGTAAACAGCTGAAAGCGGCCATCCTTTGGAACCTTCCTTTCCTTTTCCAGGTATGACACTTACCAAAGTGACTTGCATTCTCTGATCCCTGTCCCTCTGTTTGTTACCTCCACTCTGAGAGATTAAAAGTATAAGCTGCCGCTCTTTTACCTTCCTTCCTTTTCAACTGGTGGAAGGAATTGGTTAAAGGAACGCCTGAAAGTGATTTGGGGATTTCGGGCAAATAGAGAACTGGACTTGGATGTTCGCTTTCAAGGAAGTGTGGAGATACTTTTCTTGCAAACTTGCATATAAGCAGGTGCACAGTCATGGTGCGCCAGCCAAACATATTTAATTCTACCTTCCCCCCACCCTTCACACATGTATGCATCCACCCAGGGGTGGGGAGGGAGAAATAGTGAGGCCTCTTCCTTTCTCTCTGGGATAAGCTTCTTCAGGTTCACCCACAGGAAGTGGCCAAAACCGTTGCTAAGAGAGCCCACCACAAGGGTTTCAACAACAACTTTACATGCCTAAGATTGCTGTAGGTGTGTGATACAGCCAGTCACTTCCAAACCCCTGGTCGGTCTTTCCCCAACCTCCTCTGCCCACCTTGTTACTGCTTCTGCCTCCTCTTTCTGCCTTCCCTTTCCTACACCTGGACCTCTCCTTCCAAGAATCCTTGTGAGCCACAATCCCTTCATTTTGTCTCAGCCTCTCCTCACTATTTTTGCAACAACAGGCCAACGGGTGGTTGCTGAAATGTGGGTTTTTCTGTTGTCTCGCCCCAGCTGTGCTAACAAGCCATGGCCTGTTAACCACACGCAACCCACATGAAGAGGACCCATGGTCTGTTGCTGAGTTGTGAAGTGTGGCTTGTCCACTCTAGTGTGTTTGGACAATATGATAGCCCCTATGTCAACAACTACCTGTGGTTCAGCAACAAGCCACAATGAACCCGATATTCCTCCCTCCCATTTGATAAGGGCAAATGTCTCATACTGATAACTAATTTGCAAAGTCATCCCCTCCCCGCCCCCACCTCAGAGCTGCATACCTGGAGTTTCCAGGCATAAATGTCAAGCACATCTTAGTTTCCTTTGTTGGAAGGGATCATGAGACTTGTCTCATCAATCACATGTTGTGGCCACCCGTGAGGAGCTGCGGTGGTTTTTTAAATAAAATATTGTAACTTCTTTCCAATGGAACAAAATGGCTCTTTCAAAAAAGCCAACAGTATTCTTAACTGAGGGCTTAAAAGAAAGGCTCAGTGCAGGCATAGGCAATCTATGGGTAAGAAAGTCTAAGTACGACTCAGTGTGATGTTGGAATAGATAAACCATGGTTTGTGTCATGGTACACTGGCAAACCGATGGTAAGAAATGTTTTTTTTTTCGTGAAAATCACTGTTCTTTCTCATCAGTAATCATATTCACAGATAGCCACTCCAAACTATTTCACTTTCAGTGTTAGGGCTTGATGCCTATTCTCAATTCCATTTATTTTCAAGTAATTATCTCATTTCACATTTTGCTAACAAGAAGTTCCTAATAATGCTAGCCCAGGCATTGGATTGGATCCGGACTTGGTCATTCTTAAACACACTTGAATAAATGGGATGTAAATTAACTTTGAATAAATTAAGTCCCAGTTATTTCAGTGGGTTTACTATAAGGGTGATGAAGTGTTCATATAACACATAGGAAGAATTTTATGATTACAGAATTTTATTCATTCTGCAATCAAGCAAGGATTTTTTTTAGCACAAAACTCTCAGTATAGATTCCACATGGGTTTTTTATCTTCTATAGTATAACCTGGAGTATGCATGGATTTGTTAATGCTTTCCTTCCCTTACATAGTTTAATAATATCATTTAGTGGGTTGGATTCAGAACTTAATCATATTTGGAGTATGGCTTCAATTAGTCAAGGCTAACTTAAATCTTGTGGAAATCAACTGGTTAATTCTAAGTATAACTAAGTCAGGATCCAACCCAGAATGTACACAACACTTTAGTAGTGCATAAAGTGTGTGAGACACATGATCAAAATGTAATCATTAGGGTAGGGCAGTGCTATCTCTATATTGCAAACAAAGTGCTAAGAAAGACCGGCTCACTGAGGAATACACCGTGGAGCTTAAGGAAGAGATGCAATCTGAACTAGTAATTTTCCAATGTGTAGGTCCCAGAGTAACCCTATACAAGTCTATGCAGAAGCAATCTGTACTGAGGAAAATAGGACTTACTTCCAACGGAGCAAAGCTCAGGGAACCAAGGTTCCATTTAGATGCCGGGAAGCACTTCCTGAAAGTTAGGACCCCGAGCGTATGGAATGGGCTTCCACGGGAGGTCATTGAGGCCCCATTGGTGAGGGTGTTCAAGGATAGGCTGGACATGCACATGGTGGGCATGTTGTGAGCGGAGCCGGCTGGAGCCGGGGGTCAGACTAGATGGCCCAGGAGGCCCCTTCTGACTCGCTCTGTTTCTATGTTTCTTTGAGTTCGCAGAAGATCATATTCTGGGCTGCTTGACCGCTACATTGTACCAGCTATTTTAGAAAGATTCAGGCCGTGACTAAACACACTTGCTTCCTGAGCAGATAAAGTGGAAGCTGTGACATAAATTGTCTACTCATGCACAACGCAAGCCTTCATCTGAATTATTAGCCAATTATTGTGGACTTCTCATGCATAAGGTTCCACCATCGAGCTCTCAAGGTAGCCAGTGAAGCTACACAAGGACCTGGTCAAAGATAACCAATGAATATGTTCATTTTATGAACAAGGAACGCCTTCAGCTGGAGATGCCGATGATTTATTTTGAGCATTTCTGTACTGCTCCATATCTAAGCAAATTCCAGAGTGGTGAACAGTACAAACATAAAACAAATAAAATGATGGTTAGCATTAAGGCCAGCAACAGCAGGGCATTTTGTTTTGTTTTTAATTAAATTTTTAAATTTTAATTTTAATTTGTTTTGTTTTTAAATAATGCTAATAGTCTGTATCATATTAAATTATTAAAGTCAGAAATCTTTGCTGCTCAACTGCAGTCACCCAGGAAGAACTGCATATAGAAGAGACCCCCAGGATTTTTTGGATTCATGGACACATTAGGGAATTGGAGAAAGTGCTCTGTGCACCGCCACAAAATGGCTCCTGCAGAGGATGTGGCTAATCACATAATGGCTGCTGTGGCCTGACTAGTCAAGCGCAAACCAAAGGCGGTGGCTAGAGGCTGGGAGGGAAGGGGAAATCTCAAGGCAAAGGCATAGAGGGGTGAGAAAGAGAAAGGCTAGAGGCTAGAAAGGGAGAGAGAAAACCGTACCCTAGCATTTACACGGCTTTATTTATTTGTTCAGGAGGAGGCAGAGGGTGTCCTTGGAGGCCTCCATGGGCACCAGGGCGTTCTGTGGGTGCCAGATTGGGAGCCCCTGGTGTATAAGATTATACTTTAGGCTGGGTAATGGTGTTAGCTATGGAAATATTCTTCCCCTCTCTCAGTCCCTTTTTGTAGTGTAAACACTTATGGCTGGGACTTTTTACAGTAAAATGTGGTCTGATGCACAGGATGGGGCTTATTTCCAAGCAGACGTATCGAGGATTGCCCTGTTGGTGGCATGGGACTTTTGTCTGGGAAAACAAACTTTATGCTGAAGGAGGATGTCTCTTCCGTGTATCGTACATCCTCAAAAGGGACCAAATCAACTTCATATGACCCTCATTTGGGCCTATGGGCAGGAGTGGGATTTTCCCCATTGGTAGACCAGGCAGACAACTGAGAATGCTTAGTCGTAATTCTGAATCTGTAACCAGCATATCTGAAAATGGTAGGTGCTCTCGACAGATAGCATCTTTTCATGTTTACAAAAAAATTGCTCTAGCATTAGATACTCTGAACAAAATTTTTGCTGTATAATTCCTCAAAAACCTGATCTCTATCAGCAGCCACTTTATCATTGGTTTCAGCAATGGGAGTTTTTTGAGGGCATGAATTATTGTTTTCTTTTCCATAGGCAGAGAGTTATTATTTGAAGCAAGGACATTCAAATATTATTGGGCTCGGTCAAAGGATCTCTCCTCTGGCATGGGGGGGCGGGGGGGACGTGGTCAGCCATTTTAAATATTCCACACCCAAACAGAAGGCTGCCATGCTTTGTTGTATCATCCAAACCAGGCGGCAGGAATTGTTTGAAGATCAAACAGCTCTCAGATGACCAGGGTGTAACTCTCAAACAACTGCTACTGCCTGGCTTCAGATGATGCAGCTGGGTTGAACAGGCCATTGGGTTCCTGCAGGAAGTGCACCTTGTTGTGGTTTAAATAAGACATGGTGGGTTGGTGCTCATGCAGAGCAGGTCAAAGTGTATCCTTACAGAAGGAATCTGCAGCCAAGAGCACAATCTTATGTGTGCTCGGTCAGAAAAATGTCCTACAATTCCCAGCATTCTCCAGCCAGCCATGCTGTGTGGCGAATACAATGAGTTGTGAGGCTTTCTTCTGTCTAAACATGCGTGGATTTGCACCTTAACAGCAAATCTGACCCTTGGTAGGTACCATCTGGACCACAAAGCTAAGACGGGTATATGGAAGACCTTGCAATCAGCTATATTGATAGGTGTGATAGCAAGACTCAGTCTACTGACCTTCCAAACCCACATCAACTCAAACCTCCAGTAAATCTTACTGCTAACCAGAGCCCTAGGAAATTATCTCCTTCCTCCAGGACATATTAAGGAATTGGGACTGCAGATGCAAAGATCACCTTATTCCTTCCAGAAAGCTGTTTGTGATCCTTCATACTTCTCTGATTCAAGAAGTCTTCTTGTGAAGTAGAAGCATTCTTGAGACACTTCCATAAGGAATCCTAAAAGCCTGAGTTTAGGCATAGCTTTTGAGACACTTGGCTGGCTGGGGAATGCTGTACCTTTCTGTACACGTGCACAGGATTGCACCCTCAATGACTTCTACCCTCATGATTAATGTTCGCCACACCAACATTCCCCAACTTGGTGCTTCATACTTGTGTTAAACTCCCATCATTCCTAGCCATCATGGCCTATGATGGACATTGGAGTCCAAAACATCTGGAAGATACCAGTTTGGGAAAGACATTTGAATTCCATACTAAAAAATAAAGCATACTCCGAGCATAAGACCCGTTGAACTCGTGTTTTGAATGAGTATGTAGGGATATGATTGTACAATAAAATGCCTTTAAGGCTATTTATTTGTTTATTATATTTATATCCAACTTTTTTTCTCGCAAAGAACTCCAAGCAGCTTACAACATTCTCCCCCTGCTGCTATCTTATCCCCACAACAATAAGCCGGTGTGGTAGGCTGGGCTGAGAATCTGTAAATGGTCCAAAGTCACCCAGTTGGCTCCATGGCCAAGCGGGGACTAGAACCCAGATTGCCTGAGTCCCAGTCCCGCACTCTTAACCCCCACACCACACTGGCTCTCAACATTTAAAAGGCATTTTAATTTTTTACATAGAATAATCTCTACCCTGATATAAACGGTGTTCTGTGCTTCCCTTTGGAGAGAATAAAATCTAAAGGCCAAACTAAGTGCATGCTTATTGATATTATTGTGCCTTTAAATATAACCCTACCCTGTGGTACAGGGAAGTGGTTTGGGACATGGAAAGGAGGAACTTAGGGGATTTAACATTCCCCCACTGTGGTCCCAATCTGCATCACGCCCCCACTACTAGCACCACCAGTTGCCTTTAAAAGCAAGAAAGGAATGTACATACACAAACACCAATTTCTATTGCCATGAATGGAAGGTTTTTTCCCAAATTTTAAAAAAGGTTGTGCCCCCTATCTGGATTGGTGCTACATGAGGAGGATAGGAGCATATATCCCCTTATTGCCAGAGTCCCCATACCTGCCATTTACGTTTTACAAACCCTTCATGTACCATTCTTCACACAAATGGCACCTCACCTTGGCTGGTCCCCTGTCTGTCACCTGGTTGCAGGATCAGAACAGCCCACAGTGGATTACCAAAGCCCATGGGATGGGTTTGAATATTCAAGCACCAAGTGTGGCGTGTTGCATTGTGGTAATGCTCACACAACCTATGGCCTGTTGTTGGGTTATACGAAGGTTATTTACCCCCATATGATCCACGGTTCCTGGATATAGACAACACAAGCCACAAACAGTGTTTCAATATTCAAAATGTCCATCTGCCAGCCCTGTACCCCAATGTGGCTTAAAGAAGCCATGGTGGGCTGTTCATTCTGTTCATGCCCTTAAACTGGTTTAACCGTCATTTCCTCCCCGCAGAGTTTGGGCCATGCAATTCCACAAAAAGAGCCTAGAGATTTCTAAGCATACTTTCACTGAACTGTGATTCTGAGAACTGGGTGGAGGAAGCCACAATAAGTAACATGAGGCAAAACCAATATTGGTTTGTTGTGCTGATGGGCTCCGAGGGGTGATACGCAAGCACTGGGCCACTCTTATCTGAAGATCAGCTCCTTGTTTGTGTTTGCTCAGAGCAGTTTTTCCCAACCTGGTAACCTCCAGATGTTTTGGATGACAGCTCCCAGCATGCCCAGGCAGCATGGCTAGCTCAGAGATGTTTTTAGCCAAAGGGTAGCATCTACAGGTGGGTTATGACAGATCCTTTTCTCTCCCTTGATCTCCCTTCCAGTTCTGCATGGGAGACTTTGCAACAACTGACTATGAACCTGACAACTCCACCCTTGACTACAGCCTGTTTGAGGAGCTCTGCAGGAAGGATGAGATCCGGAGGTTCCGTGCTACCTTCTTACCTGCCATGTATTCTCTTGTGTGTTTTGTGGGACTGGCAGGCAATGGCCTGGTCATGTTGACCTACATCTACTTCAAGAGACTCAAGACCATGACTGATGTCTACCTACTCAACCTGGCCATAGCAGACATCCTCTTCCTGCTGACTCTCCCCTTCTGGGCCGTCAGTGCAGCCAAATACTGGATCTTCAAGGAGTTTACGTGCAAGGCCGTCCATTGCATTTGCCAGATGAGCTTCTTCAGTGGCATGTTGCTGCTTCTCTCCATCAGCATCGACCGGTATTTTGCCATAGTCCAGGCCCCCTCAGCCCACCGCCTTCGCTCCAAGAGGGTGTTTGTCAGCAAAGTCACCTGTTCTTTAATCTGGGTAGTGGCTTTCATCCTGTCTATCCCCGAGGCGATCCACACAGGTGTGCACCACTCTGCCGACCAGAATCCACGCTGCAGCATCATAATGGACAACTTGCTGACCTTTTCTACTCTCATCAGATTATCTCAAATGATCTTTGGCTTCCTGGCACCTCTCCTAGTAATGACTTTCTGCTACTGGATCATCATCAGGACCTTGCTGCAGACTCGCAGCTTCGAGAAGAACCGCGCAATCAAGGTCCTTATTGCTGTCATGGTGGCCTTTGTCATCTTCCAGCTGCCCTATAATGGCATCATGCTTGCTCAGACCATCTCAGCCTTCAACAACACCACTGGCCAATGCAATGCCAGCAAGCGCTTGGATATAGCCAATGATGTGACATACAGCCTGGCTTGTCTCCGCTGCTGTCTCAACCCCTTCCTGTATGGTTTTGTAGGTGTCAAGTTCCGCAATGACCTTCTCCGGCTCCTTAAGAACCTGGGCTGTCTCAGCCAAGCAAAGTTCTGGCAGTGGTCAGCTTACAGGGAGAACAGAAGGTGTTCCATTGCCACAGACACAGAAACCACCACCACTTTCTTCCCATGAGCTGACCTGAGCAATGTAGCAGAAATGTTGGACTGCCACTGAAACAGATATCACGAGACAGTCTCCATTGGCCAGCATCACGGATTGAACTAGGAACTTCTGAATCTCACATAGCATGGATATTTCCATGTGCCAGAGGAGACCAAAATACCGTGTCATCCAACCATCCCTCTACTCACGTAATCCAGACCATATGCCACAAAGCAGTGAAAAGGGAATTGCAGTAAATGAACTAAGCCATGAGCTGCAGGAAGAGACACAAATACTCCCTCTGGCCTAAAAGAGTGAGCCTGGAAAGTGAATCCAAAGATGCTGACAACCTTGATAAGAAGGTGATAAATCTTCACTATGGCCTAGTAGACTCTCAGATGGCAGGCTATGCAAATACAAGATGACCTCATGCAAGCCTCTTCCACAAATTGAGAAGAAAGCATGGGGGGAAGCCAAGTGACAGATCTCCACATCCCTCTTCTGGTTTCTTTCTACTCCCCCTCCCCTCCTTGCAATTTCTTCCTTGTTCCTTCTAGCAACCCTGTGTTATTGCTGCCAAACAATAACATTGTTATGGCATCAATGGTAAAATAGAACAAATGAACCAGTTAGTGCAAAGAACTTCCCCCTTCCCCGCCAAACACGGGGGTCCCCATACACCTTCTACATCATTCAGACCCACCTGTGCAAACCTGCTATTTGGGAGCAATCAGCTTCAAGGAAATCAAGCAAGAAGGGAACGTGCTGTTGAAATGCTAACAATAGAGCTTTGTTCCTATGCAAAAGGTGGACTTAAAGAAGAGCCTTATAAAATAGACGTGCTTTGTAAAATCCAATACAGCTATATTTCTGCTGCCTGTGAAAGCACAGACCAGTTTAGTGCCTTCCATCAGGTATGTGCTTGGCTGCTCTCCAGAGTTCCCATTGCCCAGTGCTCATGTGATTGTGACCAAGCCTCTCCCCAGGAAGGACTGCCTAAGGGCCAGATCAGCTGTGATGTTAATGGTGGCCATCCTTCTGGCAAGCATCAGTTCTCCCAGAGTGCTTGCACTTCTAAGGAGAGCTCCAATGGCACCAATAAGAGCTTCTCTTGAAATGTGAACAACGCCTTCAGAGAGGCAAGGAGAAAAAGGCTGGGTTCAAAAAACAAGACAAGCAAGAGAATGGGTTGACTGTGGATTATGAACCATGGGCTGTTATTGAATCAATGGTTGTTGTGTTGTGTGAACACAGCTGCACTAACAGACTTGCTTGCGAAGAGAATCTGTTGTTTGTTGTCAGGTTGTGACCTGTGGGTTGTTGGTGATTAACAAATTAGGTGTTGAGCATGTGCCTGTCTTATTTGCTGCATCCTAGAGGTTCTTTGGTTTTTGTTAGTCACCTGCAAGCCTACAGATATATTCCTGGATATTTGAAGTCCAGTCTGTTGTGCTCTGCAGTACACAATAAAACAATGGATACAATCACAACCAATGAGTGCTATATATTTAGAAAAAGAGATGCCAAGTCAGTTTTTAAGCAGTCCCTTCCCCATCTCTGGTGTACATAATCTCAGAAAGCACCTCAAAAATGGTCTAGACTAACTCTCAGCCAACATAGTCTTTCTGGTGCCAGATAGGTCTCCATCCATCTCCTGCCTCAAACCTCCAATGAAGGAGAGTCCACCATCTTCTAAGATGGCATGCTGTACTACTGAACAATGCATACCACCAGGAATTTCTTCCTAATGTTCATCTGAAATGCTATTCATGTAATTTGAATGAACTAGTGCTATGTTCTGAAGCAACATAAAACAAATTTCCACCACCGTCTCCGTGGCTGGCCTTCAGACATTTGGAGACAGCTATTGGACAGCTCCAAGCTAAAGGTCCCAACCTATGCTCTTAGGACTTGGTCTCCAGGCTTAGCACCAGCTTTGTGCATGGGGACTCTCTATACCAGGGATGGTATTTGTGGCCTTTCAAATGTTTTGGCCTGTAACTTCCGTCATTCTTCATGACTGGATATACTGATTATAGCTAATGCAAGTTGTGGCCAAAACATCTGGAAGAAATAATTTGATCACCCCTGCTCTGTACTGTAGTTTTTCAATGGTGACAAAAATGTACTCTACCTCTGCTCAGGGGCTCTTTAATCTATCCTTTATGAATAGGCCAGTTCATAAGAGAGCCCTCTGGCTTATTGGGGCAATATATACCTGCCCACCATGAGTCATTTAAGCTATGATGGCCTCCACCACTTACAGGTGGCCATTTCAAATATTGGCTTATCATGTCATCTGAACCCAGGGACTGTGGGTTATGTGAAAGCTAAATAGCCTTCATATAACCAATTATCTGCCATTGGTTTATGTGAGGGTTGTTCAACTCACAATTCTCATGGTCAGACAACACAGGAAGCCAGAGCTACAGCATGGATATCCAAAATGGCTGTGAGCAGGTGCTGTGCTTTAAAGAAGCCGTGGTAGGTAATGGGGTTCATGTGAAGCAGAATTTACTCTCATATGCTTGCTAGTGGATTACAGTGGCTAAAACTATCACTGTGTGTTTGTCTTAAGGTCATAACTTGCAAAGGTCTTGTACTTGACAATGGAATGTTAAAAGCCTGGAATGTTCAGATGATGTTTCTCAGGGGGAAATAATTGTTAGAAGATTGCTTCTCGATACAGAAATGACTCTGGAAAGTTCTGAATAGGAGATGGAGGGAAGACACATACCTCCCACGCCCATCTGCAGTTCATGTGCAGATGAAGATCCTTATGTGAGAGAGGAGCAAGAATATGCCACATTGTTGGACCAGGACTGAGAAAGCCTCAAGGAACTCAACCGAACTTGGGAAGGTGCATTGCGGGGAGCTGCTTCTCTGGTGACCCGCTGCTTCTCAAACGTGCTGCTTCTGAGAGTTATAAGCTGTGCTTCCATCTTACATGTTCGTAAATAAACTCAACTATTATAGAAACCCCATAAACATGTTGCAATCCCTCCTTCCAAAGGGAACTAAATGCAGGTAAGCATTGTCCCCTGAGCATCTGACCACTCAAGGAAGTGGAGGAGGGCATAACAATATGCTCCAGGACTAAGTCCTGATATGACATGGCTCATAGTGAGCTCTGTGGATAAAATGCATCCCCCTGAGCAATGCATGGCACACCTAGGAGGATGCACCAGTGCAAAAGCTTGGCAGTACAAGGCAAGGTGTTACAAAGGGCAGATGCTGAGGGAGAAACGAGAAGGTGCAGGAGTGGCAACACTAAACAATCCTCAACAGTAGCAATGGGGCCCTTTGTAACTGGACTGGCATAAGGAGCATTTGAATTAACTAAAAAAGAAGCATCTAATACAAAAGCCCATAATGAAAGGCTACAAAGCCCAAAGCTCTGTTGGTGCCTGCTGCAGAGAATGCAAAACCAGCCATTTTCCATATCAATGCACCAAGACAAACATATCACTGCATAACATGCAGCGTTGGAATGATACTCCAGCACATGGCTCCTGAAGCGGATCCTGCCGTCCTGCCTAAGGGGAAGGCCAACTAAGACTTTGGCTAGGAAAACTTGTGCAACAGCAGCCCTCCTGATTGATTGATTGATTGATTATCAGGCAATCACTCTCACGTGTATCAGTCTCTTTACTAATGGTGAGAATTAATTACCAGGACATGCAGGGAATTGAATCACCTTGAACTTTTATCGATTTTGAGTCACATGGGCCCAGCAGCTGGGCAGCTGATGACAAAATAAGGCGATCACAGTCAGAAGAAGGTGAGGGGTCTGCAGAGGGGGCTCAATAAAACAGCATTTGATTGCAGGAGCTTAACATAATGGTCACTGAAGCACAGGGACTGCTGTGGGTCTTGGCATGCAAATGAGGGCAACTGCAATGCTGTTACCCTGCCAGCCTTATCAGCCCTTACTGATCAGCAAAAACAATAGCCCTAGCAGCTTCTAGGCAAACTATCAGTTCCCACTTCTTAAAATAACAGCAATACTAAACAGTAAGCTGGCTTGGAATTGGGGTGCTTTCTGAGAAAGGGGTGCAGGTTTGATTTTATAACACAAAGGCACATGAATTTTCCCAACACATGGAAGGCCACCCTAATCAGAAGAAGCTGAGAGCAGTCCACTCTGGACAGCAGTTTCCAGAGAGTAGTGGCATCCACAGGGTCAGGCTTTGGGCCAGAAGTCAGGGCCTCACCCAGCAGAATAAACAGGAAGCAGTAACGTTGCTTTCTACATTTTGGAATAAAGGAAATAATGCTCACTACCTGCCAAAAAGATGCAAGCACATGTGCACAGATACCCATCAGACCATGGAAAGTGAGCCAAATTCTATGGGGGTGGGGTGGGGGGGCTCACATGCAACCACTGGATCCAGAAGCTAACTTTTCCTAACCATTCCACCACCAAGAAGCGCCTCTACAAAAACTTCCTTTCGAAGCAGGGTGACGGTGGTGCTACTGATGCTGTGAATTCTGGCCCTTTTCTCTCTGATATGCAAACTCGTCAGAGGGACTCCCCAACAGAAGAACAATGATCATCACCAGCCTTTCTCATAGACATATTAATCATTCAAGGAAAGATGAAGTGAAACTCTTTCTGAAACTGGAGAGATTTGAGTTCTCCACCCCCAGCACATTTCACTTCTCATCTTGCTTCTTTGTGTCTCCCTCAAATAATGTGGTTGAAACTCTGTCCAAATACCAAGATTCTGAAAGCATTAGAAGTCCCCCCCCCACCCCACCAGGGGAGAAATTACTGAAAAAATTTCATATTCCCAGAAGCTGATTGCTGAGAGGGAAATGAGAACTATGACATGTATATGCTATTTTTGAACAAATAAAATTATGCTAAAAGAAAAACAAAACAAAAACAAAAACAAAAAACCCTGACTGTTGCAATTACTGGGATAGCTTCAAGACAATCCAGATGCATCAGAGATGTAATTCCAGGTTTGCAGTGTCAGGATGCAGCACCCTTTGGGAATCTCCTGGGCTTGTGCAACCAAAGGAACATTTATGACATACAGGAAATATATGTGGCATGTAGGCAGCCCCGAAAGAGATGACAAAGATGAAGTCTGTACAAGAAGCTTTTATATCAGTTACACACAGTTTGGAGAAGAGGTAGGAGATCAGGTGGGGAATGATTTAGGTGCTTTGCTTGAGGTACATTACAATAAAACAAACGGGGCTGAATGGGATTAAGACAATACAGAAAGAATCTTCAGGACAGAAAAACAATTATTGCATCTAAGAGTGACCCTCCAAAGGACAGGCAGGCCTTAGCATCTCCAAGGTATTAGTGGAAAACAAGACTTGTAACATGGATTCTTGATCAGATGAGGAATCCCAGCCTAACTCTAAAGCTGTTCTTACATTGTTGGGCTTTTAGCATCCATATTAAGGCAGAGCTTTTGCTCATTTTGTCCCTACCGTAGCTCACTTAGGTTCTGTATTTCGGGTGGGGTGGGGGATAGGAGTGCATGAATTGGTTTGCGCATGAACGCATTCCCAAGCACTTCCGTTATTTTTGTTTCTAAGCTTTCCATTTGTAGCATTAGCTACTGTTCTTAAAGAATTTCCAGGTTTTCTGCAAAATTAGCAGTCTAGATACTTGGATTTTTATAGAAACTTCAATCTAAAATTCAACTTCAGAGATCAGTTTGTCTATTTGCATGCCAAGCGGGCTTGTGAGAGGAGGTGTTGTGCTCTCATTGTCTGCTTTGTGCTTTGTAGATGCAAATGTAACGTGGGAGATGAAAGATTTTGATGTTTCCGAAGTGACTGTGCTGAAAGGTGAAACCCAAGGCTGAAGTCTCTAAAGTTGGAAGCTCCTGTATATCCAATGCCCCATCTTCACTTCCCCATCTTCTGATCATAGGGTCTTTTACTAGTCGGGCTTTGCTTTCCCCTCTAGCAAAGGATCTTCAGAGAGAAGGGAAGCTTCAGAGAGAAGGGAAGCTTCAGGGTAGAAGGGAAGCTTCAGGGTAGAAAGAAAGCTTCAGGGTAGCTCCTATCCTGGTCCCTCCAGTCTTCTTCCCTCCTTGCCAGAGGAATGCCCCCCTTTTCCCTCTCTCCAAGGTTAATTTTCTGACCTTGGAGGCCAGCTGCAGAGGAGTTGGGGGGGGGGGGGGAGAATTCGGACTATGATTCTGTCCCACTTCACTGCCTCCAAGCTGAGAGGCAAGGATGCTGCACTATCCTGAGGCTCCTCCTAATCTTTAGGGGGCACATTTCAAGACTAATACATTATGATATGATTGTTTGTGGAAGGAGCTGCAGTAAAATTGTCTAAATTGATCATGATGAATCCATCAGTTTCTCTACAAAGGCATTTACTGTATGCATATTTATTTTATTACATTTATATACTGCCCCATAACCCATGGGGTTCTCTGGGCAGTGTACAGTGTAAAACAGGATAAATAACAGTAAAGGACAATAAAAACAGAACACGTGGAACTTG